CCCTCCATTAGAGGTAGTATAATATAGAGGATACATATGCTTATTAAGAGGTTGCCTGTCTGACCTTGAACAAGTTCTTTTTATTTATTTATTTATTTATTTATTTATTTATTTATTTATTAAATAAAGTCTCATTATGTTGCCCAGGCTGGTCTTGAACTCTTGGGTTCAACTGATCCTCCTGCACCGGCCTCCCAAAGTGTTGGTATTATACTCTGGGTTCTCTTCAGATCATATACATCTTTTGCCTTTTACGAAAATGTTGGGATTATAGTGTGAGCCACCACGTGTGGTCTATTTTTTTTTTTAATTAAGGTGAAATTCACATCAGTTTGACCATTTTAAAATGAGCAATCAACGGCATTTAGTACATTTGCAATTGTGCAAATACTATCTCTACGTAGTTCCAAAACATTTTCATCATTAATCTATGGACACAGGCATCATTTTAAGCACTTCAAATATGTTAACTCATTGGATCTTCACAACAAAGACAGATTCAGTTATTGTAAATTTATAGAGTGAAAACTGAGACACAGGTTACATGCCTAGGATCACACAGCTATGAAGCAGAATAAGGACTGCAGCCAAGGCAGTCTAGTCCCAAAGGCTTTCCCTTCCGAGTAACCACCGTGTTCTACTGCCTCACTCAAAGAGCACCACAAGAGGGCTAAGCTGTCTGGTCTGTCTGGTGAAGATTCAAATGCTGTTTATTTCAGAGAAGGGACGTTTCTGGGCTGCAGAGGCTTCCTAGAGAAGGAAGACCATGTAAGGTCTAACTCAGGGCAGGTCAGGATGGTGTGAATGACTAACTCAGTCTGAACACAGTCGTCCATGGGTGTTTATTAAAACTGGTTCTGGAACTCCCACAGGGAAGGTTCTTATCTTTGCCTACACAGCACAGAGCTCTCTGGATAGAGTTCTAGACCCGGCCTCTTTCAAATACGTTAGAAACCTCAGCAAGAGCAACTATTTTCTGTCTGGCTGCATCCATCTATCTGTTTAGAGAGTGAAATATTTCCATCCTCCTTTCTACAGGCATACTTCCTAGCCCTTCCCAAAAGCAAGACCTCTTGGTGAAATTTACTGCTGGAGAGGAAAGTGGTTTTCAGGAGAGGGGAGTCTGTTCCAGGAACTGTGGCACAAGAGCTAGAGGCTGGGTAGGGAACAACTTAAACTAAGTCCTCAGACTTGTTTCCAGTTTTCTTTCTGTAGATCAGGGCTCAGGACACCCTGCCGCATGCTCTTCACCCCTCCACCAGGAATTCCTAAAATCATGTTCATGGATCCTGGGAAATCCAGGAGGCTGGGGATGCTCGCAAGCCTCAGCAAGACTTCCAGGGACCGCTGGGTGTGGTGGCTCAAGCCTGTAATCCCAGCACTTTGGGAGGCCGAGGCGGGTGGATCACGAGGTCGAGAGATCGAGACCATCCTGGTCAACATGGTGAAACCCCGTCTCTACTAAAAATACAAAAAACTAGCTGGGCGTGGTGGCGCGTGCCTGTAATCCCAGCTACTTAGGAGGCTGAGGCAGGAGAATTGCCTGAACCCAGGAGGCGGAGGTTGCGGTGAGCCGAGATCGTGCCTTTGCACTCCAGCCTGGGCAACAAGAGTGAAACTCCGTCTCAAAAAAAAAAAAAAAAAAAAAAAAAAAAAAAAGACTTCCAGGGACCAACCCTGCAGCTTTCATTCCTTAGGCCCCCTCAGCCCAACTGGCCAGCAAAGGCAGGCGGGGCTTCCGTGTCCACGCATGAGAATGACTTGCAGCTGTTCTTTGTCTAGGCTGAGGTCAGGGATTCCCACTGCAGCTCCAGGGGCTTAGGGTAAAAGTCTTTGCAATCCAGCTCCTAGGAAATCTTTAAAACTAGGTCTGGGGTGAGCCTGTCAGTAGTAGATTAGGTAGAGAACTTTTATGAAGTTGAGGGTGAACCATCTGGAGGGTGAACTGGCTGGTGGGGTACTAGAACTGAGGGTGGTGCCTAGCAGTGCATTTGTGAGCAGGCACAGCCAGGCTTGGTATGTGATGGGCTGTGTGTGTGTATTCACAGGCATCATGGAGCATATATACTTTCCTTTTGTGTTGAACTAAACCTTACAGATTATCAAGTACTTTTTTTCCTGAGACAGGGTCTCTCTCTGTCACTTAGCCTTGAGTGAAGTGGCACAATCATAGCTCACTGCAGCCTCGACCTCCTGAGCTCAAGTGATCCTCCTGCCTCAGCCTCCCATGTAGCTGGGACTACAGGTGTGTGACACCATGCCTAGCTATTTTATTTTATTATTATTATTATTTGAGATGGAGTCTTGCTCTTGTTGCCCAGGCTGGAGTGCAGTGGCGCTCTCTGCAACCTCTGACTCCCAGGTTCAAGCCATTCTTCTGCCTCAGCCCCCCGAGTAGCTGGGATTACCGGTATGCACCACCATGTCTAACTAATTTTGTATTTTTAGTAGAGACGGGGTTTCTCCATGTTGGTCAGGCTGGTCTCGAACTCCTGACTTCAGGTGATTCTCCCACCTCTGCCTCCTAGAATGCTGGGATTACAGGCGTGAGCGACTGCACCTGGCCTTATTTTTGTAGAGATGGAATCTCATAATATTGCCCAGGCTAGTCTCAAACTCCTGAGCTCGAGCAATCCTTTCGTCTCAGCCTACCAAGGTGCTGGGATTACAGGCATGCACCACCACACCTAGCCAGATTATAAAATACTTTGATATCCTTTTTCCGCAGCCTTCAAAAGGAGGCAAGGCAAGCACAATTCAACCCCATTACAAATGGGGTGACTGAAGCCCCATTCATGGCTTGCCCAGGGTCACATCAGTTTGGCCATTTTAAAATGAGCAATCAATGGCATTTAGTATATTTGCAATTGTGCAAACTAGTGTTTCACAATGACACTACTAGAGACTAGTGTCTCTACATAGTTCCAAAACATTTTCATCATTAATCTATGGACACAGGCATCATTTTAAGCACTTCAAATATGTTAACTCATTGAATCTCATTGAATTAGAGCCCCAAGCCTGTGTGCTTCCCTCTGTGCCAGGCTGCTTCACCCAGGCAGGGCTGCACATTGTGCATGGGACATTTCTCCTTTCTTGTGTCCTGAGTACCTTAAGCTACTCAGATATTGCTCGGGGCGGCGGGGTGGGGGTGGGGGCGGTAGGAGAGGTGAGGGGAAAATGTTTTCAGGTTGTATTAATCAAAACAAAATACCACACAATGGGTGACTTTAAAATCATACATTTATTCTTCACAGTTCTGGAGGCTTGGGAATCCAAGTTCAAGGTAGTAGCTGGACTGGTTCCTGGTGAGGGCTCTCTTCCTGGTTTGCAGACAGCCACATTCTCTTTGCATCCTCACTTGGTAACTTGGTAAGAAAAGAAAGACGGGGATTGGGGGGGCGCAGAGAATGTTCTCTCTCTCTTTTTTTTAACCAGACCCAAAATGAGGGCCTCACCCCACAACCCCATCTAACCGTAATTACCTACCAAAAGCCCATTTCCACCTACCATCACATTAGGGGTTAGGGCTCCAACATAAGAATTTGGGGAGGGCTTATACATTCTGTCTACAACATGGGTGAACCCATCTCTTCCTTACTGCTGGTGGGGAGCCGCACGCTGCAGCCAGTGAGAAGTTGCATGTTCTTGTTACCACTCGACCCAGCTCCCCCAGATGAGGGGGCAGGGAAGGAGGACAAAACTGGGAGAGTGAGCGAGCATTAGGAAGAGAGTAGGGTGGCCAGAGGTAGCAAATAAAATAGAAAATGCTTAATTTTGAATTTCAGATAAACAACCAATAATATTTTTTAGCAGAAGTATGTCCCAAACTAAGCTTGGGACATATTTGTGCTAAGAAATTATTCGTTCTTTATCTGAAATTCAAAGTAACTGGGCATCCCGTATTTGAATCTGGCAACCCTAAAAGGCAAGGGCCAAAAATGCTGGGGCAAGCCAGCAGATTCCAGGAGGGACTACTGCTGGACTTCTGGACTGATGCTCTTTTTATATATTTAACTTTTAACAAAAGCCTATTTTCTTTCTTTGAACCAGCTTTTCACTAGCTCTTAAAAAATTGTGGTAAAACATACATAACCTAAAACTCACCATCTAAGCCATTTTTAAGCATACAGTTCAGTGGTATTAAGTAGGTTGACATGGTTGTGCCGCCATCGCCACCATTCACTTCCACCACTCTTTCACCATGCCAGCCTGAAACTCTGCCCGTTGAACACAAGCTGCCCAGCTCCGCCATCCCTGGCGGCCGCGGCTTCTGTCTCCGTGAATTTGATCGTTCTAGGCACCTCACGTAGGTGGACCCATCCGATATCTGTACTTTTACCTCTGGCTTCTCTATTTAATTCTTAAAGGGGGACGGGAACTAAGTGGACCACAAGGGAGCTGCTCACAGAGGCGAGGACAAGGTCAGGTGTGCTGGGGGACGCACGAAACCGGTCGGGGCGTTGGGCCCTGGGCCTGGGCTGGGGGTCCTGTCCCGGGCGAGGGCTGCCCGGAGGAGCGAGGCTGGCGGATAGTCCGGCGTGAGCCTGAGGGGAGGGCAGCGAGGGGACAGAGGACGGAGCCCTGGGAAGAGGGTCTGCAGAGCAGAAGGCACGGGTGGGGGCTGCCTGGCGTGGGGAAAACAAGAGATCGGAGCCGTGTGCACGTCGGGAGCTCGGAGTGCGCGTGAGTCCCGCGCCGAGGCTCGCGACTTTGCCGGCCAGGCCAGCGCTCTGGGTCGACCGGGTACCGGAGCCACGCACAGGGACAGCCAGTGAAGGGGGGATGGCGCCGCGGAGGGTGACGGCGGCGCTAGGACCCGGGGGCGTGGGCGGGCGGCGGGCGGAGGCGCGGGCAGGCCGAGACCGGAGGCTCTAGGACCCGGCGGCTCGGACGGAGCGGAAGCGGTGGCAGGAGCTTCCGGGATTGCGGTGCGCAGGTGAGGAGGCGTCTGGGGCGGCGGGAAGTGGGGGACCCGGAGGGGCCGGAGAGAGGTGGGTGGGAGGGCCCGGGACCCGCCGAGCCTGTGTCCCACGGCCGCTTCCTGGCTGCCGCCTACACTCCGCATTCCGTAGCTGGGTACCGACCGCCTGGGAGGCGTCTTGGGCCCTTCCGGGAACTTCCTCCCTGGAGCCGGCCCCTGCGCCCCGGCCTTGCCTGGCCCTAGCGGAGAGGCCAAGGCCCGCGGGGTGCAGGGACCCGGGCTTTGCGGGGTCCCGGTTCCGCCTCCCCACTCCCGCGCCTTCCCTCCCGGGCCGGGTTCTGGGAAGCCTTGCGGGGCTCTTTCGCAGCTCCTGCCCGCCCGGAGCGCCTGGGCCCTAGTAGGGGATCCCACTTTTCTGACACTGCTTTGGGTTCCCGGGGCGTACAGCGAGGCCTGTAACTCGGGTAGAGACCCTGGAGTGGGGTGTGAGAGAACGGTCTGCAGGGAGGGCTCCGAGAGAGCCGTGCGGTGAGTGCATTTTCCTGGGAGTGCGCAGTCTACGCCACATTCTCTAAAGCGGTGCTGTCCACTAGAAATACTGTGCGATACACATGTGCAACTTTTGTCACTTAAAAAGAATCAGAAAAAACTTGATGAACGTGACATAGATGGAAGAAAAACACGATTATTAAATAATATTTATGCGTTTGTGGAATCGATTGAAGAGTAACAAAATAGACAGGAAATGTCACAGACCTAGAATGAATTGGTTACCCACTGTGGAACTGAGGAGCTAGGGTGTCTCATTATAAAACTCTCTTAGACAAGACGATTTTTGATAAATTTTTCAACGTTTCCCCCCAACAAAATCCCTTCTTCTCAGGTATTTTTTGTCTGTCCACTAAATAAGAGGTGATGTCACCTTTTCTGATGAGCACCACAGGCTTTTCAAAAGGTGATTGCCAATTAACCCTTTTGTGCCTGGGCTTTCTCATTTGTAAAAATAGCACTTCTACTTCTAAAGTGTGTGGTGAAGACAAAACAATTGGGGTGATGTATACTAAAGTAACAAAAGTGCTTACCACACAGGAGGGGCTGATTAGTGTTAGATTCCCTTGTTCTTCACTCAGTATCAAAAACAGATCTAATTTAGCTTTACATAAAGGCAAAGTATCAAGATTAGGTGACTTGATACTTTGAAAACAAAACATGTCAATAAATAACGAAAAGCTTGGAATTCAGACAAATCCAATCTGGGCTTGATCTCAAGCTAGTGTTTTGATGTTGAAAAAAAATGTGATTTGGTCTTTCTAACCCCATTTCCTTAACTAAAATTGGGGATGATGGTAATTCACTGATATTAAGAGTTAAATGAGATTCTTGAGGAATCACGGCCGTTCTGACATATGCAGGTATTATTAGCAGCTATATCGTAGCATAAGAAAATGCCATCTGCTGAAAGAGGGACAATAAGGTTATCTTCATGATCATGTAAAAGCTACCAGATATAGGAAGAAGGGACCATAAAATGATAATGTTAGATGATTAATTTTGATGCTTAGGTCGGAGTTCATTCTAGGATATCTCCTGCCCGAAAAGAACAGAGACTCATTTCTTTGGACTCACAGGACACTGAGTGAGAGGAAAGAAAAAGAAAAGAAATGTTTAAGTCACATATGTGATTTCTAAGAGTAAAAAACAGATGAAATTAGTAATACATTTTTAAATCCACTATATCCCAAATATGGTTATTTTAGCATATAATCAACATAAAATATTTTAATAAATATTTTAATAAGATATTTCACATTCTTTTTTCCTAGTGTTTGAAATTTGGTTCATATTTTACACTTACGGCACATCTCAATTCAGACGGTCCACATTTAAAGTGCCCAGTGGCTGCATGTGGCTGGTGGCTACCATACTGGACAGCACGGACCTAAGGATTTCATTCCTGGCACGGGTCTGAACTCCTAACCTTAATTTTGAGTGTTTTTTTTTTTTTTTAACAAACTGGCCTCTGTTTATCATTCTTCTAGTACTTCCCCAAGGACGATTGTACCCTCAGCACTCAAGACCACACTTGCTGTTCCCCTACACACTTTTGTTCAAGCTGTTTCTTTCACCCGGAATGCTGACTTTGCACCTTCTTTCCTGTACCTGGTAGAAAGGCAGACATTCTTTTTCTTTTTTTTTTTTTTTTTGAGATGGAGTTTCGCTCTTGTTGCCTAGGCTGGAGTGAAATGGCCTGATCTTGGCTCACTGCACCCTCTGCCTCCTGGGTTGAAGTGATTCTCCTGCCTCAGCTTCCTGAGTAGTTGGGATTACAGGTGTGTGCCATCACACCTGGCTAATTTTGTATTTTTAGTAGAGACGGGTTTCTCCATATTGGTCAGGCTCGTCTTAAACTCCTGAACTCGGGTGATCTGCCCAACTCAGCCTCCCAAAGTGCTGGAATTACAGGCGTGAGTCACCGCACTCGGCTGAGAGGCACACATTCTGCTAAGAGCTTTATCCTGACTCCCCTAACCCCAAAAGGGATTTGTCACTCCTTAGCCTTGTGCTCATGGCTGGATTAGAGTGAATTTAATTTGAGTTTAATTGTTTTTGAGACTATCTTCCTGTCTTACTCATCTTTGTTGTGATCATGGCCTGTACCTAATAAATAATAGTAGATGTTTGCAGACAGAAAGTAAACCACTTATCAGGTGTATTCAGTCCCTTTCTTTCTTTTTATTTTATTTTTTTTTTGAGACGGAGTCTTGCCCTGTTGCCAGGCTGGAGTGCCATGACACGATCTTGGCTCACTGCAACCTCTGCCTCCCAGGTTCAAGCAATTCTCCTGCCTCAGCCTCCCAAGTAGCTGGGACTACAGACGTGCACCCCCATGCCCAGTTAATTTTTGTATTTTTAGTAGAGATGGGGTTTCACCATGTTGGCCAGGCTGGTCTTGAACTCCTGACATCAGGTGATCTATCCACCTAGGCCTCCCAAAGTGCTGGGATTACAGGCATGAGCCACGATGCCCAGCCTTCAGTCCCATTCTTTAACGGGCTTGCTGCTTCCTTTTTGAGGAGAATTGTGTATGTAGTCTTACGTGTGTGTGAGCAAACAGCATACACACAAACAAGGAATTCATCTTAGGATGCGCACAGGAAACATCTTGCACCTTCACCCTCTTTGTGATCTTACACATGGGAGAACTGAGGCACAGAAATAAGTTAGGATGGCCAGCAAACTTGCGTCAGTATAAATACAAAGAAGGGGAGGGAGGAACATTCTTGCAAGGGCTGTGATGGTCTCAGAGGGTTAGGCTTCTCAGATGGCTGGGCATCAGCTGGCCATGCTTTAGTTATATGATTGGAGGAAAAAGAAGTGGGAGGTGAGGAGTAACTCCTGGGCCCTGATGAGTATTCAAGCCAAGTAGAGATCTGGGAAGCCTGTACACAAAGGAGGAGCTCACTGCTGGAGAAAAAGCTGAAGAGCAGGATGGTCGCCTCAGATCATGAACAGTGCTGGCCTGAGGAGGGTAGAAGGAAGGGCTGGGGAAGCCAGCAGGGGAGCAAAGGAGTAAGCTTCAGCTGGGTGAAGATGTTCGTGCGGTGCATTATGTAAAATATACAAATTATTATTGGGAATAACCACATCTCAGCAGTGCTGGTTCTCAGTCTGGAGAATGGAAAATAGAAAGGATCAGATTCAGAGGAGGCAGCTTACCCAGTGTCACAGCATTTTAAACTCAGATGAAACCTAGGCCCTTCGTGCCACACTCACCAGCCCCACCCACTTGTGTTGCAACCAAGGCCCCACTGTAGTGCTTAGGAGAGCAGGTCTCGGGCATAGTGCCAGGGCTGATTAATGTCTTCCTTACCGTTTTCCAGTGAGGGGCTGTGATTCGGCCTATTTATAGGGGCCTGGTCCCTTAATATTCTGCCTGGTGCATCTCTTGCCAATCAAATCAGTGCCGTCTGCAGTGTGATTGCTGCTTTAGTGGCACCAGGGAGAAGAGTTAATTAAACCCAATATAAATAGACTCTGCCCTCACTTTGCAATTCCAGGAGTGTTTTTCCTTCCTGTCCTCCACCCCCACATGCACCTCCTTCCTCTAAGGCCCCCTAAGCTCTTATCTAGGTGAGCAGGGCTGGACACCCCTATACCTAGAGTCACTAGCCACTGCCCAGTCTGTTTCAGGAGCAGTCCTCAAATTCTCAGGAGTTAAAGTGAGAAGAACCCATGTGTGCACATTTTTTGTGCTTTTCCAGAACTGGGTACCATTTGGCAGTTGATCAGGCATCTCCCCAACTGCCCCATTTCCATCCCTTGGTTTTCAGCCTCTTTTTTTCTCTACAACTAAGATTTCTTTCTTATTTATCCAAGGTGGGGAGCTGAACTGAGACAGTGTATGGAAAGGGTGCCTGGCAGCTACCAAGCACCTTGTAAGGGGTCAGAAATGTTGCACCTTCTCTGAACTCCGTTGGCCCTACCAATTCCCCAGTCCCTGGTCCTGCCCTCCCCCTCCCTCATTCACTCAACAGGCGTCAGCAGACTCCCATCGGTGTGCTCCTGGCCTCCCACCAAATGCTGTGTCCCCTTCTCCCCGTTTGTGCAGGCTGAAGCTGTGTGCATGGTTGGGATGAGGGCTGTGTTGCCTCTCCTTCCTTTCTGAGGAGAATTGTGTGTGTGCTCTCGTCACTCCTTAGCCTTGTACTCATGGCTGGATTAGAGTGAGTGGGTGCAGGTGGGCATGGGCAGCTCTGATGCTCTGGATCCCACCCACAGGCACCATGACTCCTGTGAAGACTCAGCACTCCCTGGCAGGTCAGACGTATGCCGTACCCCTCATCCAGCCAGACCTGCGGCGAGAGGAGGCCGTCCAGCAGATGGCGGACACCCTGCAGTACCTGCAGAAGGTCTCTGGAGACATCTTCAGCAGGTGGGTGCTGCCACCCACCTCCTCCTGATCAGAGGACCATCCCTATCCTGGGCAGTCCCAGCAACATACCCTCTGGGAGCAGCCCCCTAGGGGAGATCCTGGTACTGGGGGACCCATCTGGCTTCCTTGTGTGGGAGGGGCTGAGGTAAGAGCCCAGCTTGGAAGGTTTTGCTCCTGAGAGTCTGAGAGCTCACTCCCCTCCACCCCACTTAGCCTCCTGATTTCCTGTGGTGGCTCTGCTCTCCTGACTCATTTTCTTCCTCCCATCTGGGGGGCATATTCCTTCACTTTTTCCTGCATCCAGCAAATACTTACCCAATAGTGTTTGTGTGCAAGGCATTGTAAGAATCTCTGTAGATCCAGCCATGGATAAGGCAGCATCCCTCTCCAGCTGGAGCGCACATGCTGGCAGGAGAGAAGGACCTAATAACCAATGCATGATTCGTTCTTCAGTAACAGTTGTGACAAGGCCTGTTGATAATATTTGGTAATCACTGTGATTTATATAGCATTAACCGTGCACCACCGTTGATTTGAGTGCATTAACTCATTTAGCCCTCGCCACACTTCATGAGCAGGCACTGCTGTCATCTCCATTTTATAGATGAGGAAACTGAGGCACAGAAAGGCTGAGAGACCTGGCCAAGTGACAGAGCCAGGGTTCAAAGCCACAGATCATGGCCCCAGGTTCTGTGGGTTATTACCGCCTCTGTGGAGGGGAGATGGGGTGCTGCGAGGCTCGTCCTGGCTTGGTCTCGGGTCAGGGGAAGGGGGATGTGAGGAAATGACATTTGTGGTAAAGTCTGAGGGTTGAGTTGGGTAGGTCAGGAAGAAAATTCCAGAAAGAAGGAAGCACATGAACTGTAGCCCAGAGGCAGAGGACCTAAAAGAAAGCCAGCATGGCTGGAGCCCAGAGCGGCCATTGAGCGAGCCGAGTTGGAGGGCTGAGGCTTCCTGTGTCAGCAGCGCTGACCTCGCACAGTCCTTGGGCTCTGGTGACTTTTCACTCAGTGTTTATCTAATATGAGTGAGTGAGTGATGTTTGCTGTTTCCTGGCAAAGGTCCCAGCGGTTGTTGGATGCACAGGTCCTGTCTTTGGCCATGAACAGCCTGAAATGAGGCTTGGTCTTCTTCCCGGGATCCCACACAGTGCCTCACATGGTGGACCCCAGTGGGAAGCATGTGACTGCCTGACTCAGGTCCCGCACATGGTCCAAGTCACCCCTGCCCTGCCCTTCCCTGGTTGTTGCCAGACCTGGAGCGCCTGATCCTTCACTGTGCAGCCTCCTCTTCTGTCGCCAACTGGAAGCTTACCTCTTCCTGAATGACCTCCCCCACTGACTCACCGGCTTGCCCCAAGCTTGTCAAGAATGTCCCTGTAACCAAGGGGTCACGCACTGCAGTGGCTGAGGGGTCACCTTGGAGCTGATGCCTTGGCTCAGATCTGGCTTTCCTGCTTGCTTCCTCTGTAACCCTGGACAACTCAACCCCTCTGTCTGTGAACTTGTGGTAATAATGGTAGCTTCCTGGTAGAATTATTTTAAAGACTAAATGAATGAAAACATGCAAAGGAATGGAACAGTGCCTGGCACCTAAGAAGATTTGAGGAAATACTAGCTCTTCCCTGTTGATAATCTTGACCTGTCCACTGGACTCAGTTGCCATTCATGAACCTGTCATCAGTAGTTACAGAAATTGTTGGATGCACCTTTTGTGCTTATCATTGTGATAAATGTGCCCAAGGGACACCTAGGCAAGAGGATGCAGGTCTTAAAGAGCCATCAGCTCCAGATTATGGCTACTTCATGTTCAGTGCTTATAATGGAGGCCAAAACCATTCCCTCAGAAACTCTGTTTCCTCACCAAGATGGGATTGCATGGTTGCCCTTCTCTGAGGGCAGCCTTGGATTTTTGGTGTCTTTCCTTTCCCGTCCTGGTACTTGGCACCTTGCAGACAGTTGCATGTCCCCTGCCCAGGGATGGGATGAGGAGAGGGCAGGAAGGCATCTTCTGGGGAGTGGAGTGCTGCATTCATTGAGTGTGGGACCCTCAAGTTGCTGGCACAGCCCAGGGAGGGGAAGATGCTTCTCAGGAGCACTGGGCCTGAGTCCCGGCTCTCTCACGCCACATTCCAGGTCACTGCGTCGATCTCTCCACCATGTGCTCCACATCATGCTGGATCTTTAAGAGACATCAATTATGTGGCAGACACTGTGTCCTCAAAGAGCTTAGAGGCTGGAATGGGAACATGTAGGGTGAGATTAATTGTTAATTGTGTAGCATGGACCATGTGGGCTTCTCAAGGTCTAGAAGGGAGAGAAATCAGTAAGAATTGGTGGCACACCTGTCAGAACTCCCCAAAGCAAGCTAAGCAAAAAGTAACCAGTAGGGTAGCCCTTGGAGTTAGAGCTAAAATGACGTCATCAGGGCCTGGCTTTGCTTTCCTTCCTTGTCATTTTGCTTCTTTGGGTCTGGCTGCATTCTCAGACAGGCCATGCTCTCGTGGTGGCAAGGCGACATGGCAGGGTCAGTTTCAGCAGGAAAAAATGCTCTCCTGTGTCCCCCACTTCCTCTAGAGGCCACACTCACCTGGATTGGTCCTTGTGTCTGTCCCAGAATCCATTGCTGGGGCCAGGGGACTATGACATGCCACTTGGCTTAGACCAAGGAGCTCTTCAAACCACCCACTTGAAGCTCAGGGTGTAAGCCTGCAGGAGAGGTAGATTCCCCAGAGGAAACGGGGCCATTGCTTGAGTAAAGGGGAAATAGGTGCTGGAGAGGAAAGCCGCGTGCCTCCTCCACACAGGGCAGGCTCCTGGAGGAGAAAGGCAGGGTAGAGAGGTAGGCGTGCAGGTTGCCCTAATGGGGTCTAGAAATGGGGGCCACAGGCTTGGAGAGAAGCCTCAGTGTGGCTTGGAACGTGGTATATGATGGTCTGCTGGGAAGGCCGGCCTGCACAGGGGCTGGAGGGGAGCACAGGCAGTGCTGCCTCTCCCTTGCACTCAGCTCACAGGGCATGAGAGGCTGATTTCCCATGAGCCTGTGGGCCAGGCCTCTGGATGGTGCTGAGGAATTTTGCCTTGGTTCCTCCGTGTCCCCACGGGGCCATGGGAGGCTCCCTGGCAGTGTGTGGGACAAAGTAATGAGTGAAAAGTTGGGATGAATGAGTTAAGGTCCACGGAGTACTCAGGAGAGGACTTATGTTGATTCAGGAGTGTTAGGGAGCAGTGACTGGGTTTCAAGCAGGGCAGGGGTGGGACAGAAGAGTTGGGGAAGGTTCATCAGGCACCCGTCACGGAAGGGGCATGAAGAGAGAGTGGATGCCAGGGACACCCAGAAGCTGTTGCTGTAGTCAGGATGTGGCAGGGATGAGGCTGCAGACAGGGGACCTGCTACTGAGGAGGGCCAGGTGAGACATTCAGAGGAAATGGACGACATGAAATGGTGACAGATAGGGAACGATGATGAAGGAAAGGGAGGAGTCATGATGAGTGGGAATGGAGTGGGGAGCACTGACACCTCCCCTCCTCCACCTGCCCTTTTTCTGTGGCACTGGACAAGCATGTGGACTTTTCATTTTTCATGAGCTTTTTTGGTGGGGATGTGACCAACTTTGAATCTCTCCCCTTAGACATGCTCCTCCTGCTTAGAACCCTCCTGCACAGAAGAAACAGGTGGGTAGAAGAGAGACTCTCTCTCCCTCCCACCCCATCTCAGGCCCCAGCACAGCCCAGTCCCTGGCCTCACTGGTGCGTGTGCCTAGTGGCGCAGGCAGGTGACTGCCTGGCAAATTAGCATTACAGGCTGTGCTCTCTCCTGCTCTGCCGCAGCCGGGAGTGTGCAGACTGGAGGGAATGACAAGCACCTCCCAGGCTCTCTTTAGCTGTGCCCCTTCCTGCCCCCTCTTTCTGCCCCTCCATCTGTCCCCTCTTCACCTGGGAGAAGCCAGGCCCCCAAAATATCGGGCCAGATATGTCACCTGCTTCCCATGACATAGATGACAAGGCAGGAGGGAGTCGGGATGGCACGAGGAAGAGGAAGGAACAGACTGTGTGTGGAAGTTTGGATGCTGTCATTTGCCATTGCCGATCAGCCCCTGCCCCACCTCTTCACCCAAGAGGCCGTGCCACTGCCCAGCACCTTTCCCTTGGGAAGCGTGATTTTCTCTGCAAAGCTCTGGGTCCTTTCCTCCATGTCTGTCTTTTTCCTTCTCCCCACCTCGTCTTCTCCCCTTCCGCTTTTCCCCGTTCCCCTCGTCCTCACTTCCTCCATCCTTCTCCCCTGTTCTCTCTACTGATTGGCACCTGGTGGCCCCCAAGGTTACACATTGCACTAGATCACTGCATAATTAGCAAGTCGTTCTTAATTATCCCAGAGTGGAGAAGATAAAGGTAAAGGCAAGAGCACAGGTTCAGGATCTGCTTCCCTGGGGTCATGACAGGCAGGGGAGGAGAAGCAGTGAATTGGGAGCTGGAGTGGTAGAGGGTGCTCCCTGCTTCCTCCTCCCCACAGCCTCTAGGGACTGGTGTGCTGATGGTGATGGGCCATCATCAGCTCTTTGTCACCTTCACAGGGATCACATGATGTAGAAGGGACCATTCCTATTTTTCAGTGGAAGTAGCTGAGGCAAAGACCAGTGAGTGGCCTCCCCAGGGTCGCGCTGCTGCTAAACAGACGTGAAACCCAGGCCCGTGGGGTGCTGTGGTTATTGATGCTTATCTCTTACCCGAGAGGCCTGAGTCTCTTTGGGAGTGGATCTATGTTGTCTGATTCGTCTTTGGCTCCCACGGCCCCAGCACTGTGCTGTCAAATGGAATGCACTCAAGATACTGAACAGTAAGGGGTGGAGTTGGGAGACGGGAATCAAGGGATGCTTGGAGATGGACCTCTCCAGGGGAGGTAGAGGAAGATGGACCCTTAGTGAGACCACGCGCAGAGCAGGCTGGGTGAGCCAGTTCTGTCCTTGATGCCCACAGAGCAGCTTCCTCTCTCTTGCTGGGTGAGTGTGCCAGAGGATATGGCTTCAGCACTGAGCTTGTAAACTGACCTACCTTGAAGTAGCCACCAAGCCAAGGGTGTCTACACCAGGAATGGCAAATAAATGGCTCTCATGGCACCATTCCCCCACCCTAATGGTTGGCATTGTTCATCAATGCCCTGGCCCCAGTGAGGCCTACAGGCCTTCCCAACACAGCCTCCCAGACCATCCTGTCAGTCCACAGAGATAGCAGACATGCTGCAACCTTTCTGACCCTGAATCTGCACTTGTCCTCGGCACCGTGGCCTGTGACCATGAGATAATAGACAGTCCGGAAGCTCTGTCAGCAAGCATGCCGTTCCTTAGTCTCATAGGCTTCTGGTTAAGGAAAGAGCCCCAGGATCATGTCTTCTGCCTCCACCTCAGGGAGGATTCACCCTTGGAGCACCCTGCATGGTGCTTGTGAGCTGGAGCCTAATTGCTCTTCAAAGTGATGCAGTTTATTAGAAAGTTGTTGCCATTTTTTTTAAAAACAGCACAGAGCTCTGTTTCCTTGCAACTCTGCCCACTATTCCTGATAGAAGTTTACTCACTTCACCCGACAGCCCTTTTGATATTTTTGATACTTGAAAGGAATGATCATATTCTCGAAGTCATCTGATCTTTGGCCAGAACATCCTTCAGTTATCTTCATATGTCGGCAGTTTCTCACTCATCATCATCCTCATCACCTTCCTTGAAATGTTCGCTCATTTGTCACTTTCTGTTCAGCCAGCGGCTGTTACGCATCAGGCCCCGTCCCAGGTGCTAGCGACGTAGCAGTGAATGAGACAGAGGGCAGTCCGTACGGGAGGTCAGAGTCCTCTGTCTGTAGATCCAGTTTAAAGGGATGTGACTGTGGCTGAGACTGTGCCTGGCATAGACTCGTTCACGAGTCCAGGGCCCTGTTTTCTGTGGTGCCTCCAAGAGACTGCATGGTACCTGCTGAGTGGAAGAAGGATGAAGGGCAAACACTGAGCCCTAAGAGCTCACTGCCTTTTTATGCTGATTAACATGCTTTTAGCTTCTACTGAGCTTATAGTTAACAGAAGCTTCCAGGTCTTTCTTCACCTGAACTGTGTCTAAACCAAGTTCCCTCCACCTTCTATATTTGTGCATTTGATTTTTAAACCCTAAATGTTGAGCTTTACATTTGTTCCCTATAAATGTCATCCTGGTGATTGCAGTCCCCCCTCTGGCCTTTAAAAATTATCTGAGCCTTGATGCCATCGTGCAGATCGTTTTACCCCTCTGTGCTAGCCCCAGTTTTCTAACTAGGGTGTTGAATGAATTGGAAGCGCCCTGCCATATTTCTCCATGCAAGGCTGGAATCAGACCATTGTTCAACAGTGCCCTTTGGGGCTGTGGTTCATTTGGCTCTGATTTTTCCCATATGTTCTCTCCTCCAACCCCCATAGCTCCATCTTGTCCACAAGGTTTTGTTAGAAGCTGTCAAAATCCGTGCTGACTCAAGATGCACTGTGCGACAAGTTTTCCCCGGGCACAGCAGGCTAATAACCCTGTTACAAAGAGAAATGTTGTGCATTTTGAGCAATGCTGGCCCCTGGGACTCACCTCTGCCTTTTCTAAGGGCTTACAGACTCTCTGTTTAATAATCCATTCCAGAAACTTGCCAGGGCTCATTGTTGAGCTTGGAGTTTGCAACTTTGAGTGATCAGCCATTCTCTCCTCTATGGCAGCACCAGGACGGAGCAACCTTTGTCCCTCCCCAGTCCCAGTTTCCTCCCACTACCCCTGTGGACCTTGAGTACAGAGCTTATGCAACTACTGAAGACTGTGTCAGCACCCAGGGACAGAATGAGGCTGCCGTGGGAACTGGAGTGAATTAAAACAGCTTGTGCTGGAGGACCCCTCACGGCAGATGATGGCCTCTCCCCAGCCAGAAAAGATGGAGCTGGGTGGTGGCCCTGCTTCCTCACTGGGAGGAGACGATGCTCTTCCTTTTTCTTTCCGAATGGTGGCTACCTTCATACTGGTCTGTCATGGAACACTTAAGCTGCTTGGGTGCCTGTTGGTACTCCCAGCCCTGCCATGCCTGAGCCCCTGGAGTAATCAGGGCAGACTCATTAGGAGATGGGGACCCCTGGATTGTGAAATTGGCTCTCTCGGGCCAAGGCCTTCTGAAGTTGGTGGGAGTGGCTTTGGCTTGGTGGGTCAATTCCAGGTCATTCGTTCCAACCTTTAGAGAAATCCCAGCATTCCCTAGCCCAGAGTCTGCAACCCTTTTGCCATCCCACGTCCTCCTCCTCCCTTTCCTCATGAACCCAGTTGTGCCTCTGCTGTCTCATCCCTGTGCCTTACACAGGCTCGCTCGTGCCAGGTGAATGCTGAGGCTTCTTTGAATGTGGAGTGTGGCCCTTGTGGGCAAGGGCTGGGTTCTTGGGGGTAGGGGAGCTACAGAGGTGACTGGCAGGAGGATGGTGTGTCACACGCGCATCAGAGTTAACTTGGCAGTGAGAACGGCCTTGCTGTGGCCCAACAACGTGGAAAAGCATAAGTGAGGTTATGTGCCTTAAAGCATCAGGCACCTGGGCCTTGCCCACCGGGAGCCAGCCACAGGGTTGTCTGCGGAAACGGCATTCCCTGAGATGCAAGTGCACGAGAATGCACTTGTCGCATCTGGGGAACAGCAGGGCAGCAGTGTCACTGGGCCCAGCCCGCACCAGGGGAGATGGAAACGGGTGAGGAGCTAGACCATGCAGAGCCAGTGGTCCGCAGTCGGGACCCAGGGCTTGCTCAGTGAGCTGTTCACTATGTGCAGGGGCAGTTCTTCCTCTGCGTTTAGGCGACAACACTCAGTTCCAGCCTTGCCATTCTCAGCCTCCGGTCTCGATTCCCCCTCTGCAGAGGCCACTTTGTCTACTGCACGTGATCGTGAGGGGTTGTGAACTGCCTTGCCCCATCAGCAGCCATGTGTGCGTGTGTAAATACCATCCTCTGCGTGCCCTGGAGGCTGTCCTTCAGATAGCACGTGCAGGTGCCAGCATAGGACCAGGTGGCTGCCTGTCCCTACCGAGAGTGCAGGGAACTCAGTACTGTCAACTCCTCGATCCTGCAGGTCAGATTGTCCTTGTAGAGGCCTCCTGGATGGCACCAAGTTCGGCCCTGGCAAGCAGGTGATCCTGACTTAAGAGCCCTTGCCTGAGGGCTGGCCTAGCAGGTCTGCTGTTAGGAGCAGGAGGTGTGCAGGGGTAGGGAGCAGTCCCAGCTTCTGTGATCTTCTCCATGGCAGGATCTCCCAGCGGGTAGAGCAGAGCCGGAGGCAGGTGCAGGCCATCGGGGAGAAGGTCTCCTTGGCCCAGGCCAAGATTGAGAAGATCAAGGGCAGCAAGAAGGCCATCAAGGTAGCCCCCATACCCGTGTCCTGAGGCTACTGGGCTGTCCCTCCATTTCTCCGTGCCTCTGAGGCTGCCCAGTCTCTGCCCTGCTGCCCACCCGTACGTTGGGCTTTTCTCCCGCCCAGGCTCCCAACCCCACCCTCTCCTGCCAAGCAAGCCTAGCCGTCTGAGCCTCTTGGGGCCCCTCAGACTTGTCCCTGTGTCCACAGGTGTTCTCCAGTGCCAAGTACCCTGCTCCAGAGCGCCTGCAGGAATATGGCTCCATCTTCACAGGTGCCCAGGACCCTGGCCTGCAGAGACGACCCCGCCACAGGATCCAGAGCAAGCACCGCACCCTGGACGAGCGGGCCCTGCAGGTCTGCTGGCCAGGCACATCACACGGCCTGTCACACACCTGGAGGCCTGGATGCTGGGGACGAGCCGGGGCTGCCTTAGGGTTCTGTCCCGCAGAGGAGGCTGACTGGGAACGGGTGGGAGCCGATTTGGCCCAGCACTAAATACTCACTATCCCTTGGCCCCCCGGCCCTCCCAGGAGAAGCTGAAGTACTTTCCTGTGTGCGTGAGTGCCAAGGCGGAGCCCGAGGATGACGCAGAGGAGGGACTTGGGGGTCTTCCCAGCAACGTCAGCTCTGTCAGCTCCTTGCTGCTCTTCAACACCACCGAGAACTTGTATGGCCAGAAGGCAGGGCCGAGGGGTGTGGGCGGGAGGCCCGGCCTGGCTTAGTGGGAACCGAGGGCATCAGACACAGATATAACATCGAGGCTGGGAGCCAGGAGGTAATTGGGTGGCTTGGCTTGGGAGGCCTGAGACCCCACTGTGCACACTGTGCCCCTGATGGTGTGGGAGAGGTAGGAATGTGGGCTCAGGACAGCAGGTGTCAGCTTGCCTGACCCCCACGTCGCCCCTGTAGGTACAAGAAGTATGTCTTCCTGGACCCCCTGGCTGGTGCTGTAACAAAGACCCACGTGATGCTGGGGGTGGAGACGGAGGAGAAGCTGTTTGATGCCCCCTTGTCCATCAGCAAGAGAGAGCAGCTGGAGCAGCAGGTGGGAGGAACAGGGCTGGGGTGGGAGGAACAGGGCTGGGGTGGGAGGAACAAGGCTGGGGTGGGGACAGTTGTGGTGGCTGAGGTGGGAGGAACAGGGCTGGGGTGGGAGGAACAGGGCTGGGGTGGGGACAGGTGTGGTGGTTGAGGTGGGAGGAACAAGGCTGGGGTGGGAGGAACAGGGCTGGGGTGGGGACAATTGTGGTGGCTGGGGTGAGAGGAACAGGGCTGGGGTGGGGACAGTTGTGGTGGCTGAGGTGGGAGGAACAGGGCTGGGGTGGGAGGAACAGGGCTGGGGTGGGGACAGGTGTGGTGGCTGGGGTGGGAGGAACAGGGCTGGGGTGGGAGGAACAGGGCTGGGGTGGGGACAGTTGTGGCTGAGATGGGAGGAACAGGGCTTGGGTGGGGACAGGTGCAGTGGCTGCGGTGGGAGGAACAGGGCTGGCTGGGGTGGGGACAGGTGCAGTGGCTGGGGGCCCTGCAGGGCCCCTCTCCAGGCAAGACTGTTGAGCCATTTATTCCACCCATTTGGGGGTGCACACAAGGCCTTGCAGGATGCCCCTGCAGGTCTCTGTCACCTCTCACATGTCCCTACCTAATTCTGAAGGTTCCAGAGAACTACTTCTATGTGCCAGACCTGGGCCAAGTACCTGAGATTGATGTGCCATCCTACCTGCCCGACCTGCCCGGCATTGCCAACGACCTCATGTACAGTGCCGACCTGGGCCCCGGCATTGCCCCCTCTGCCCCTGGTACCATTCCAGAACTGCCAACCTTCCACACTGAGGTAGCTGAGCCTCTCAAGCCAGGTGAGCTGAGTGCTGGGATGGGAGCTGGGCCAGGGACCTCCCTGCTCAGACACCTTCTTCCCTAGACACCCCACACTTTCTCTTTCAGACCTAGAAGATGGGGTGCTCACAGCACCCCCACCGCCCCCACCACCTCCCCCAGCTCCTGAGGTGCTGGCCAGTGCACCCCCACTCCCACCCTCAGCCGTGGCCCCCGTAGGCCCGGGCGCCAGGCAGGACGACGGCAGCGGCGCGCCTCCTTCAGGTGGGAGCAGCTCTCTGAGGACACCTGCTCGTTTCTGGTGTGCTTGGTGCACTCAGGTGGATTGTCTGTGGGTTTGTCAAGTGGTCAGAAATCCTGGATTGTTTTTAATAGTTCCCATTTCAAATGTCTTGTTCTACTTGGTTCACAAAATAGTGGTTTTCAAACTGTAGAGCTCTGGAATGTTCACCTCTTGGGCAGAGGGGGGCTGGACAAGTGAGGCTCTGGGTTCCCCATTCCGAGTTAAACCAATGGAAGGAAGAGGCCTCGTAACAAACTATGGAAAGAAGGTCTAATAACAAACTACAGCAACAAATGATTCGGTGTCCCTGAAATGACATCAGTTCAGCTTTACCGTTATATCTCCCATCTGTCTCTAGGATCCAGAAGTGGCACAAAACCCCTCTGCTGGCTCGTGTGTGCAGCTGAGACTGTCAGTGCATGGCTAGCTTGGGGGTCCAGCTCTGCAGGGTGGGGGCTGGAGAGGGGCAGGGAGTGTCTGCACACACATCGCCTGCACTCAGGTGTTGCAGAAGTCAGTGCCCAGGTCCTGTGTGCCCAGGCCCCGCACAGTCTCCAAAGGCTCAGCATCCCCAGCACGGGCCGCCTCATTCGAGGGGAGGTGCCCTCCCTCCTAGCGGGCTTTTGGACATGATAAGCTTCCCCAGCCCTGCCTGAGCAGCCTTTCCTCCTTGTCCTGTTACCCACCTCCCAGCTCCAGTCCAGGGAGCTCCCAGGGAAGTGGTCGACCCCTCTGGCGGCCGGGCCACTCTGCTAGAGTCCATTCGCCAAGCTGGGGGCATCGGCAAGGCCAAGCTGCGCAGCGTGAAGGAGCGAAAGCTGGAGAAGAAGAAGCAGAAGGAGCAGGAGCAAGGTGAGCGGGCCCCGGAGCCTGCGGTTGGAGGGCCTCGGACAAAAGGCCTCTGCCTGTCGTCCGGCAGAGTCCACAGGGTGCTTTCTGCCCAGCCCCTGCTCCTGCCAGCCTGCCCCTGCTTCCCCTAGGGCACATGCTGGAAGCCCCGGGCCACCGCCCAAGGTCCTCAGCCCTCCTGCCTGGGCCATGGCTCCTTCCTGGTTTGGGAGCCTTAGTGGAGCTGTCCTCTCGATAAGCTCAACCAGCTCCAACTGTGACAAGGAGAATCTTCCCTGACTGCCGAGGCTGGTCCAAGGCAATGGTCAGCCACCACGGCCTCCTGAGATATTTTTAGAGATGGACCTGAGGCCTCCTGAGGCTACCGGTAGCGCCTGCTGTGAACACAGACGCTGGTGTGATGTGATGCCTGCGCATGCTGCAGCAGTGCCCTGGGCACTGTGGTTCTGAGCGTGCGCCCAGCGCTGCTTGTGCCTTGCTCAGTGACCCCAGGCAAGCTGCCTCCCCTCTCTGGGCCAGTTTCCCCACCTGTGCAGCGGTGCTGCCTACCCTGGCCCTGTCCCCGAGGGTGGCTGGGAGAGTGCTCCTCAAACGTAAGCGCTTTCTCATCAGTGTCCAGTGTCGGGTCAGGGATAGACCGAAGCTCTGAGCTAACTGGGAAACAGTGGCCTTGGAGGGCTGGGGAGTGTCGTGAGGGTGCGGGCAGGGAGCTGGGGTTTCATGTGACTGAACCCTTCACTCTGGCTTTCCCATTGCAGTGAGAGCCACGAGCCAAGGTGGGGACTTGATGTCCGATCTCTTCAACAAGCTGGTCATGAGGCGCAAGGGTAGGAGGCAGGGCCGCTGCCCGCCCTGGGCCGGCACATTGTAATTCTCTCCTGCCTTTGTCTTCCTATGTTTAAGTCTCTGGGGGCTGGGGGAACCAGCGTTTCCCACCCACCACCCTCACTCAGCCTTTTCCTTCCAGGCATCTCTGGGAAAGGACCCGGGGCTGGTGAGGGACCCGGAGGAGCCTTCGCCCGCGTGTCGGACTCCATCCCTCCTCTGCCACCACCACAGCAGCCCCAGGCAGAGGAGGATGAGGACGACTGGGAATCCTAGACTTGGGCCATTGCTCCAACCTGGACACAGCCAGGACAAGCTCCTCAGACCTGCTGCCCTAGGAGGGGGCGGTGATGGAACTGTCCCAGGACTGTGCGGGGACCACCTTCAGGGAGCAAGAGGCTGGCCTGAGGCCACAGGGCTGGGGCGGGGGCTTCTGTATGCTTGTGCTCCACCGGGGGACGGCTCCACCCAGCCTGTACCAGGGTGTTCTCCTCTTCCCTAAAGAGGCTTCCAGAAAAAACAGCACAAATCGAAGAAGAACTGAGCAGAAACCAAGAGTGCACTTTTAATAAAGGACCGCTAGCTGTGCAGGATGCAAACGTCTCGGGGTCAGTGACTCTCCTCCTGCCCCTGTTGGTCCCTAGGCAGTAGGAGCAGAAGATCTCAGCTGACCATGACCCATTTCCCTGGGGTCAGAGGAGGAGAGGTGCAGTCAGCAGGGGCAGCTGTTGCAGGGGGGAGGGGTAGTCTCCCACAGGAAAAAGCTTTCAGTGGCAGACACGGGGTCTCTAAAAATAGTCATGCTGAGAGCCGAGTAGCCTTTGGCATCATTGCTGGTGTCAGTGGTAGAAGGTGTCTTGGAGTTTGCTCAAGTGGTTGAGAGGGAGTGAGGTGCCATCGACTTGCAGGAAGTGGCACCAAGCCAGGGAGAGAGAAATCCGGGGAGGGCTGTGGGGCACGTTGGGCGGGCAGGGCTGCAGAAGGAGTGACTCAGGAAGAAGGTGAGGGAGGTGACAAGCCCCCAGGCGGCAGCCCTGTGGCCTTGGGGACCTTTTAAAATTGAGACTAGATGGTGAGTAGTCCAGGGCAGCTAACTTCATCTATTATAAAAAGGGCAGAAGCAGATGGGCCTGCTCCATCTCAGCTCTTAAGAAGGTGGTCAGGACAGAAATGCCACAGTAGAGGCTGCAGCCCCTACAGCCTCCTGCAGAGGCCCAGCGAGAAGCCTGGCCCTTGGCCACATGGGATGGACGACACTCGATTCCAGAGACGGGAGCTGCCCTGGGAAGACCTCAAGGGTGGCCGGGACCCAGGTTCCTTCAGGATTCACCTGTTTCCACCTGTGGGCACTAATGCCTGTGCCTGGGTCCTGGCAGCGCTCCGGCACACTCCTGGCTTTCACCTTTGTAGTAGGATCCCCGCAGACCAGGCCCACGACAAACACAGTCTCCAGCAGGCCGGGCAAAGGAAGGGCGCAGTGCCAGGCAGTGGTGCAGCTGCCCATCAGGAAGAGGCCGACTCCTCCCGGTGGAACTGGGCAGGGAGAAGGCAGTGAGAATGTGATCTTGGGGCGGTGGAGGCTCTCGGGAAAGGAAAAGGGAGGATTGAACTTCCACATGGCAGCAATGGCAGAACCAAAGGTCGCTGTGACCTCCATGAAGGCTCGGATCCAGGCTGGCAACTTGGCCAGGACGGGGCCGGGCGTATCACTGGTCCAGGAGCACTGTGCTGGCAGAATCCCTTTGGTGCCCGATGGCCCTGCCCTCATGGGACAGGAGGCTAGAGCTCTGAGTTACAGCTGCCTTCCTGACAGCACGTTTCCATGGCATCTCCCTCCCCTTCCTCAGCCTCAGGTGGGAGACAGGGCAGGCAACCCCCTTTCCTCTTCTCCCCTTCTCCAGCCCCCATCTGTCCAGCCAGCTGGAGGCAGCCAGGCTTGCTGTGGACTGGCTGATGGCCTTCTTGCAAAGCTGCTCCACCAGATCCTTCCCTGGGGACGCCTGGTCTGGGGCTCTGGGCTAGGGGTGAAGGGGATGACCCATGAGGACTGTTGCCTGCCTGGAGCTCTCCCTGGGAAAAGACCCTGCCAGGCCTTGGAGCCAGACCCGGAGGTTTTGTTGGCCAACGCAAGCAGCAGGGGTCCAGATGACATCACAGGGAAGATCAAGAGGGTGTGGAGGGGCATCTGAACCTCCGGAGGGGACAGGAGATGCTGGACCAGCAGGAAAGGCCCAGCTGTGTCAGTGCTAGGAGTGATGCCACTCCCACCCCCCACCCACTCTCGTCCTATCCTCTGCAACACTGGGGACACTCACAAGGGTGTGATCCAAGTAGGCCATCATCTTCTGCAGCTCTGGAGACCTATGTTGGGGAAGCGCATACCTGCCATCGCCACACACCTGGGGGGAGACAGGAGCCTGGGATCGTCACCCACACATCACCAGCTGCTCCGTTCTGCCACTTCCTCATCTGTGCTCGCAGCTCTGCCCCTCCCAACTCTGCACCTACCACTCAGAGAGAGCTGGTTTAGCTGACAGATCCCGTCTAGGCCAATGGATTTGTGTCCTGCTACAGTGATGGCCGGCCTGATTTTCCACCTGTTCTCCCAGGGCCAAACCCAGAGCTGCTGAGCCCCTTCTCTCTAACTGGCTAGTCTGAGCAGTCACAGCCTGGCTCTGATGGCAGCAGACGGCAGGTAGGGGCCCAGCTGCTGGAAGGAGGGTCGGCCACATATCACAGCCCAGAAGATGAGCGCTACTTACCAGCCTAGGTTGTCAGAGAAGTTGATCCCTTCACTCATCTTTCCTCCAGCCACAGAGAGGAGCAGGGCCCCTATCACCCAGCCTCTCTCCTGGCCACAGCCTGGTAAGAGACACCCAGCCCAGAGGTGCTGAGCCAAAGCTTAGATGACACTCTTAACGTTGCCAGCTGCCTCCCCACCAAGGTCTCAGGCCCAAGCCTCAGAGTTACGCCAGCACCTGAATGCACCTGGAACACGAGAGTGGCACCTGCTCCACCTGGTGTGTGCTCTTGGGTTCCTGGAATATGTGGAGGCAGAGGGCGTCTTCAGAGATGGGTTCAGGGTGCTGGGTCTCAGATCTGCTGGTAGCTTTGTGTTTCCTGGCCAGGGGACAGGAGAGCCTTGCGACCTGGGGCTTTGGGGAAATCCTCTGTAGTCAGGAACTGGGAGCGGTGGGGATGAGGAGCTAGAAGCCTGTCCTGACTCGATGAGCACAAGAGCTCCCAGAGGACTCGGTGGCACTGTCCTTGTGAGTGAGAGCGCTGGCTGATGGGCCACTCACCTTCTTTCTAGCTGCCAGGTGGCCCAGCAGGCTGCCGTTCTCCCAGTGGGAGCGGACCTGGCGCAGGGACTCGTAGGATGGGAAGAAATAGACTAACCCTCCAGGAACCACACCACACAAGTTACAGAGGAGGCCACACACACCTTGTCTATCTAAGGAAGGAAGAGAGGGAGCCCCCACGGAGCAACCCCTCAGCCACCCACAAATGGCATCTTAACTTGAGGGTCAAAACTGAGGAGAGAGACCCAGGGCATCACTGCAGCCAGTGGGGAGGACTCGAAGGTGCCACCTCCCACCAAACACACCCAGGTGCTGCTGCTGACTGTGCCTTTCTGACACACGTCACAGCACTAGCGTCCTGGGGGGCCTTCCTATTGCCCTGGCACTGAGTCCTCCCTTCTTCACTCTGGGGTCCTGATGGGCACCACAATGACAGGCACTGCATGCCCCAGGCATGCCACAGGAGATGCCCCCCAGTCCCCACATCCCTGCCTATGGCAAGAGAGCCAAAGGGAATGAGCAGCTTTCTCATGCGTGGCATCCTCAGGGGATGCCTGGAGGTTTTAAGAAAATTTAGCAGCCTAAGGGTTCAGGGGTGGGGAAGCTCACACTTTCCTCCATAATCATCTAGATTGACGCTGCTTATCCTGTACGGCTCTGTAGTGGATGTCCTAGTGCAGATTCTCAAACACCTGAAAATACTCAGGGTGTGCCAGAGCGCCCCTGCCCTGGAAACCCCTTCCCTGCTCGAGCCCAGGCTTTGGCAGGGTGAGCTGGCTGGGACTGACCACCTAGGGCAGCTCTCTCTGCTGGAACGTGAATTCCAGAGGCTGATTGGAAATCCTTCTGCAGATGCAAGGGGCAGGATGCTGTCTGGAGGGATCACGTGATCGGTGAGACCCTGGGAAGAGCTGGAAGCTGAAGATGCAGGTGTTTTGCAAGGCACAGTTCAGGAAGGGCATTTCCCCATCTTCCAGCATAGGAGCAGCACTTGACGGTGCTCACCCACTGGCCATCACCGCTGTCATACTGGGCAGCGGGCAGCAGGGAGCAGAGCAGGAGAGCCTGGATGAACACACGAAGGGTGAGGCTCCCATCCCGGGGTCTCCTTCGCCCCCGTGCCTGGTCACAGTATGAGGTTACATGCAGACAAGGGGCCAGAACCTGAACACTGGCCCGTCCCACCCTGGGCGTGGCTCCTCTCCACAGGAAAACCCCACTACAGTGTTCAGCTTCCACCCCAGCACAGGCTAGCAGTTGCTGCCAGAAGGCAGACACCTGGAGACCAAGAGCGCAGCATCAGGACCCTGTGACCTCCCAAAGGGCCAGGGGAAAGGAAATGGGAAGTCTGGGCTAAGGTACAGCAAGTACATGTGAACAGAAAGAAGAGGTCAAAGAAAAGGCTGACGGCAAGTTAACAGAAACGTGGTGAACGACACGTGGTACAGGCAGCCTCGTTTAAACCACGCTCAGGAACAGCAAAGGAAATCCGGCAAATTCGCACAGTCATTCTCAACCCTGGCCGTGCAGCAAAATTGTCAGTGGAAATGTAAAGACATACACACGGCCAGGCCCCAGCCCCAGCCACTAATAAGAATCTCCAGCCCTTCACCTGTTAGACTAGCAAAAATCCAAAAGTAACCACTCTGCGGAGAAACAGGCATCCCTGGACATTGCTGGTGGGATACAGAACAGAACAATTCTTGTGGAGGGCAATCAGATGGCAGTCAACAAATTAAACATATTTACACGTTTAAACCCAGGAATCCCATAGGAGTCTACTGAGAAGATACAGGCCACAAATACCAAACAGCATACGCTCCGCGTGTTTCCCTGTAGTCGTGTGCCTGCCTATCCAGAGGGTACCGGCTGAATGAGCTCTGCTACATCTGCCTGTCGGAGAACACGCAGCCCACTAGGGGAGCAATGGCCTGGGCAGCTAAGATGCCTTCCATATCAATCAAGCTTGTCCAACCCATGGCCATGGGCTGCATGCAGCCCAGGACATCAACTTTCTTAAAACATTATGAATTTTTTATTTTTTATTTTGGAATTTAAAAAATCTCATCAGTTGTCATTAGTGTTAGTGTATTTTATGTGGACCCCAAACAATTCTTATTCCAGTGTGGCCCAGGAAAGCCAAAAAGATTGGACACCCCAACATAAATAAAGCAGGAAAGGAAAAAATGAAGACATATACATGCTTTTCTTGGGGAAAAAAAAAAAAAGAAATACTGGAATGACAGGCCAGTAGCTAGTGAAACTGATGATTCTCTCTGGAGACGGGGAACAG